AAAGAGAACAGAGAGAGTGTGCCGGTTTGGTGAGAACTTTTTCTATTCTGAGATCTGAAAGGACACCCTAAGGAAAAGAAAGAATCTGTAAAAGTTTTGACAGAAGTGATTAAGCGGCGATTTTAAACAGGAATGTCAAAGTAATATTTTTATTTTTTTTCTCATTGCTGGATTTTCTACACATGATCTTATATTTTGAAACTGGACTAGTTTTTTTCTCTCTTCTTTTTATCTATTCTTTTCTCCTTTTTGATTTTATAATATTCTAAGCTTGAGACTCCCTTTTAGTTATTTTTAAAAAAATATCTTTTCCTTTTTTTAAATTAATTCTTATTATATTTTGCTTGGAAAAGGAGGGGGAAAGTGAAAGCTAAAGAAACTTTGCAACACTGCCAACTAGAGGCTTGGAAATATTCTATTTCTCTCTTGACCAGACAAAGCTGAGAAAGAACTGAAACTTTGTTTCAAGGACATTGCCTGTTTGATAAGATAGAGGGGAAGAGCATGGAAGAGTATTATTGCAGTATTCTTCTGGGTTTCTATCAACAGCTGGACTCTGGTGTTGAAGTTTAGGAAAAGAAAAGGTGATAAGTCTTTGGAGAAGAGAGTTATAACAAGAGCCTTGGATAATTAAACAAAGTGCAGTGTGCTCTTTTTATTCTTTCTAAGCTGTGCTACCCCTCCTCATCAGTCTACTTTTTTTTGTAATAGCTATTTGGATTTTTGGCTCTCTGGAACTTGTCTTTGTTTTTGTTTTTTCTTGTCTTTGGAAGTTAAATTTCTACGCCTGCTTTTTATTTTAAAGGAAAAGCTTTAGTATTAACGTTTCCCTTCCTTTTCTTTTTAAGGGAGTAGCCTTTTTTCTGTCTCTCTCCCTTCCTGGTATTTTTGTCTTTCCATCCACCTTCCATATTGGTTTTTCTTTTTTCTTTTGGCTTATTTTTATACATCCTTTTATATTTGAGACCTCTTAATTGGATTAAGGTGTTGAAGAACCTGAAGAAATTTTCTTTTCCTTTTTTAGCCTTTTTCTTCACTTTTTCGTCTTTTTTAGGATTTTACAACTTTTTCTTTTTTGTGTGTGTTTATGGTGTGTTTATGGTCTTTTCCTTCATTTTTGATTTTTTACTGCCATCTAACTAACCGATTGGATTAAGGTATACAAGAACCTGAAGAAATTTTCTCTTCTTTTTTATTATTATTACTATTTGGCTTGTTTTTTCCTACTATTTTTATTTGGAACTGCAATTGGTTATTCTACAATTGGATTAAGGTTTAGAAGAACCTGAAGATTTTGAATTGCTCAAAATGAGTAGGAAATTAACAGCTCCTGGTTCTTCAACTTCTACTTCTTTCTCTCCACCATCTGGAGGACAACGTTCAATACAGACAATGTTAAGGCAAGAAAAAGAACAAGAAAAAGTGACCCTGCAGATGATTATGCAAGGAATTCAAAACATTCAAACAAGATCAGAGAATATTGAAAAGAGAATAGAGAACATTGAACAAAGAACAGGGAAAACCTATGAAAAAGTGGAGAACACCCAACAAATGATGATGAAGTATGATGAGAGACTCCAAAAAATTGAAGAAGATAAACAAAGAGACAAGAAGATTGGAGACATTGATAGATTAATTGTGGTTGAACAAGATAAAAGTGGTATGCTGAGATGGGAGATGGACAGATCAGAATTTTATCTTAGATTCCAAAACATAGAAGAAGAAAAAGGACAAAATCTAGCTGAGATAATGATAGAAATATTGGCTGAAGCTCTGGAAATAACTGAAGAGAAGATGATGGATGGAATAGATGAGGTTTATCGAGTTTTCACAAGATATGCGATGAGAAATAGCTTACCAAGAGAAGTTCACATCAGATTTACAAAGAAAGCCATTAAAACGCAAATACCGCAAGTGGCAAGAGTCAAAACATTGAAATACAAAGGAGATTGTGGTCTTGAAATAAGTACCCAGAAGAGTGAGAGAGATGAGAAGAGAATACCGATTTTTGACCAAATTGCTACTTTAAAAAGAGGTGAATTATAGATGGCTGATTCCAGAAGGTTTAATGTTCACATGGCAAGATCAAGAGATATAGAATTGATTCAATTGAGAAAGCTGAATCATTTTACACAGAATTTTTCAGAGGGGAGGAAGAGGCAGAAAAAGAAATTTCACTAATTGAATTCCAAGAGGACTCCAAAACGACGACTGAAAAAGAAGAAGGTGCAGTAGGTGGAAAGGAGGAAGCCAAAGAACAACGTGAACCAAGATCCACGAGAGCTGTCAAACCTAACTACAAAATATAACCATGGAAGAGAAAAAATTGATTACAATTAATATAAATGGACTTAACTCAGCCATTAAAAGAAGGAAAACCTTTCATAAATTAGAGAAATTAAAATGTGATATAATCTGCCTGCAAGAAGTACATATTAAAAAACAATATGAACAATTGTTGATACAGCCAAAATTAATGCACACTTTCTTAAATACAGTGCAGCAGATGACATAATTTAAATCTTGTTAAAATTGTGTTGGTTTCTTTCAATGCCAGGATGAAATTTAATCTTAGTTCTTAAAAGTTTGCTTGTCTGAAACACCCATACTTATTATATTGAAGTTTTTAAAGTAGCTCAACATTGGTAGCTACAATTTGTTATAATTTTAACATACAGATTTAAACTATGAGTAATTAGGTAAAGAAAATGATTGCTAACAAGACTTAATGATTGAGGTATTAGCAAAATCCTGTAATTCAGGCCTACCAGTGGCTACTGAATTAACTGAGACTGTCCCTTAGTCATCTGAAGTCTTCATTTTCGGCTAAGGACAGGATACAATGAATGCAAATGTTTCTGGGCTATGGTAAAAACTCAGTTGAAGCTACTTGGGTAGAGATAAGCTACTTTATTTTTCATAAATACTGGCAAACCCCATAATCCTTACTGACAAATTGTACAGGTAGACCTCACCTTATGACCACAATTGAGCCCAAAATTTATGTTGCTAAGTGAAACTTTTGTTAAGTGAGTTTTGCCCCATTTTGTGACCTTTCTTGTCACAGTTGTTAAATGAACCATTGCAGTTGTTAAGTTAGTAACATGGTTGTTATGTGTATCTGGCTTCCCTGTTGACTTTGTCAGGTTGTAAAAGCTGATCACATGACCCCTGGAAACTGCAAATGTCACAAATATGAACCAGCTAATAAGCATCTGAATTTTGATCATGTGACCACGAGGATGCTGCAATGGTCGCAACTGTGAAAAATGATCATAAGTCACTTTTTTCAGTACCGTTGTAAATTTGATTGGTCACTAAATGAACTGTTGTTAAGTCAAGGGTTACCTATATTCCTATCTCCCACTGTCCTTTTCCACGGTAACTTTCTCATTCGGTTCTAATTTATGCAACTAGGTAACTTGACAGAGAAGTTGGGGAACATAAAGTGCCAGGAAGAATTGGGCTGTTCTTTGTGAATGTTCTTTGTGAGTGCTGAACCAGCCCAATTGATTTTTAAAAAAGATTGTGTAATCTGACTTATGACGTTACATGGTAGAACCCTTTAGGACAGTGGTGTTAAACTCATGTCGTCATGGTGCATTATGTGACGTATCAGGACTTTCCCCCACTTTACTAAACCGGGCATGGGTGTGGCCAGCATGTGATACATTTGGTCCGTGGGCTGGGAATTTGGCAGCCCTGCTTTATGAAATCCTTTAGTGTCAGCCTGTGAAGTTATTTCAGACAAGAAAACCAAAACAAGAATACTAATACGTTATCTATATTGTAGGCTTACAGTAACAGAATCTTGCAAGCCTGAAAATGTTCTCCCCCCTTGGCCTACTTTTATATTTCATAGAATTAGGGAGAGTCAATTTTGAGATGCTTTCTGCGCCCTCCATTCCTGCTTTGGACTCAGATTTCTCTTGTCAGACCATTGTCTGGACTGTTCCTCCTCCTCTCTCTCAAAGTTATTCTCATAGCCCATTATGGTGATTGTGGCTGTATAGTATGCCACAAGCGATGAATATAAGTTTAAGGAAGAAAAAAAATCTCATAATCAGAATGGCCAGATATTCAAGGTAAATAACAATTTGTAGCCATATAACAATTCTCAGTTAGGAACCAAGCCAAAAAGGATTATATAGTTCAGAAATATTGCCCCCTGGTGTTAAACATTGAGAGATGTAGTCTCTAAAATTGTGCCACGTTTTCTAAAATACCCAAATTGTTTTAAAACACCGTTATACCTTTTTATAAACAGGTATTTGGGGCTATAACCATTTGGCAGTCATGGGAATAATCATCTTTCATGTTTGATCACCCTACAATCACAGGGTTGTTACCCATAATGTGATAATTAATTTGGGTAAGGCTCTTTTCTTATGAGAGCAGGTGGCCAGGGAGAATATTTAATGTAGTTGAAGCATTAAGTTACTATAATACCTGAAAGCATTTTCTTGGGCTTACCTGCACCCCTACCTGTAGCCTGAAATGTGAAAGGCAGAGAAATACCACAAAAGTGTTCGTTTGGGAAGGAGGGTCAAGCACCATATCCCTCTATGAGTAATTTGTTGGGGCCTTTCACGTAATGAGGGTATTTGGGAGGGGATGAAAATAGTTTTTCTCTTTCATTCTGACATCCTCTTTTACTTTACCCTTGTCTTACTTAGAAAGGTGCTAGAAAACAGAAGGCATTCATGAATTGTCTGTTTTCTTACAAAGAATTTTGAAATTAAGGGAAGAGCTGTGATACTCATTGAGGGTTGTTCAACCTGCTTGTATGGTAGTCAGTAAAAACGTTTAATTGAAAATAAATTTAAATCTTTTGTCTATTATCCTATCTCTCCCCCTCCTTTAATCTAGCATGTGCTGAGAACTCTTGCAGTCAAATTTTAATTCTCTGTGGAATGAGTCCAGTTGCTTTCAATGGCAGTCACTGATTAATACAATACAATTTAGACTGCAATCTAAGGAATCCCCCTTTGATTAAAAGGAAAGGCCAAATTTCTTATGTGTTAAGCAAAGATGGGTTTGGACAAGGCAGTTGTGGGCAAGTACAGTAATCATTTTTGGGGGGTTGGGAGGGGGTAGTGGGATGAGTTTTAATCCAAAGGCTACCTGGTCTCTGGCTTCCTATACAGACTCCACCAATATTTTTTCTTAGGAAATAATGCTTTTTCGTCTGCTCTTCACCCAGCAGCCTAATAACGCAGAGTACTGAATTGTATTTACTGACAGGGGCAAAAAGAGCAAGCCACAGGAAAAAAATGCAATTCACAAAACACTTGGAACAGAAGTGTAGAATGATCTGTAGCTCGGTATATGTATTTTCTGTCCAGAAGATGTTCAGCTGGAAAAGACATAGTAGTGTACTGAAAAGAAACATTTTGCAATATAACTAAATTGAGTTGAAATTGGTGTATTTCATATTACTGTGTGCAAATCACTTTAAATTCAGATACTTTTGAGTAAATCAAATTACTCAATTTTAAAACATTGTATTTCCAATATGAAACTAATATTTTGAACATTTTAGATGATTATTGATCTCCGATACAATAATTGAGACGGTATACTGTGATATGTAATAATCATTTTGAACTCCCAACAACTGCTTCATACTCAAAATGGGGTCTTTCAAATTTCCAAATCATTGGAATGGGAAAAATTCTGTACTTTAATAACCTGATAAATAAGAATGTCCTGATTATATTTGTCGCTTAAACAATGTCTTTAAAACTTAAGGTTGAAACCATGATGTATGCAACTCTACTACAGACAGAATGCATAAAAGAGCACTGATTTTATTTTATTGACAAGGGGGAGAGAAAAAATTCGTTCACCGTAACTGAAATCTATTTAAAATTTTAAAAATGCAGTAAAACAAATGCACGTGCAGATGTTTTGCAGATAAGCCTGCTGAAGGACAGGACTTAAGCTACAATAAGATCAATCAGGCAGCAAGATTATTAGCAAATAGAGTAGGTAAATTACATTATTAAATAGTTCTTACTTTGAAACTTCCAATATAACAAAGGGCAAACATCAATAACACCATCAAATAAAACCACAGCAGGTAATATTTTCTCCTCTAAACTTCTATACAGTATATAATAACTGTTTTGTCTTTCAGTTATTTCCTCTGATAAAGTTGACTTCAGTGAAGTCTCAGCAAGGCCACTTTTGAATGAAAGCCTAACATTAGACAAGCAGCTGTTCCAATATCCTATTATAATGAAGACATGGAGGGTATTGTTATACAACTGAAACATTGAAAATCAGATTTGTTTAAGGCCAATTTTAGCTAGTATGTGAAGAATTTTGAAAAAAAAATACTAGCAAAGCTAGCTGCTTCTTGGTAATTGCTTCTTCGTAGCCATTGAGGAAAATGTCTCTTGTTTTCCATAATTGGTTTTGATTTTTGCAGTTTTTCTTCATGTTGGTTTTAGAAAAAAAGAGCAGTCACAGTGCTTTTTTACAATTTTGTATGCATTTCTGTGTATATTTGTATATGCATATGAGCGTTCTGTTTTGCCTTTATAGGTTCATTTTTGGCTCAAGTTTCATGTTTAAATCTTTTACCTCTTGATCATTAGAGGCAAGAATTCACTTTAAATAGTGTTTTATATATACATATATATTGAAAAAGTAGGAACAAGATGAAGCATCTAATAACTTTTGCTATCCAATATTCAATTGACTTTGCTACAATTCAAAATTGTAAAAAATAGTGGAATGAAAAGATACAAACAGTATACCTGACAATGTATTTGTCAAGTGTTTGCACTAAGACCCCATGTACCACATATTTTTTTTAAAAAAATCATATTTATATCCATTTACATGAGACACATATTAAAAGAAATTCACCATAAATACATATAATTCTAGTATATTACAATAAAACAGATGGAACACATTTCAAAATGAATCCCCCCCTTTTGATAAAAGCATTATTTCTGCACACTGTCCAAATTCGTCATGATGTATATTTTTAAAAATTAGTAATTATTAATTAAACTACATAAGATGTGCAATCTGGACAATATTTTTGCCACATACTATTCAGTCATTTCAGTGGAGCTTGTGACCAACTTCTGTTTCAACTCCACAGAAAAGATTAAAAAATTGTGTGACAGTAGTATTTGGCAGGTTGCACATTACAATTAAATATGTAAAAAGATCACCACACATTTTAGTTTGATAAACATTTATATTTTCTTCCCTATTACCCTGTTCTTGGAATAAAAAGCTTCTTAAGATGGTGGTAGTGCACTTCAGGTAAAATAGAAGAAAGAGGTGGCATCTAGAAGTAAGGAAAATAGTTCATTTAATAATAACATTTACACTGATATAGATTCTTTTACAGTAATAATCTCTAGGTAACAATTGTAAAATAAACCTTAGTTGAGAGTGGAAAAGAGGTAAGGCAGGGAGAAGATGGGATCAGTAAAAAATACATGATAGAAGATTCACTGGTTGCATTTAAACTCATCTCTGAGAATAGCTAAAATAGCTTGAAATCTTGTAATTTTCTATTTGAATGTGTGTTTCAAACCTAATCTTAGAATAACATGAAGTAGAGATGTTCATACTGTATATTAAGGATGCAGATACAGTTAGATTATCTGGAAAAAAAATTCAGTAAAACCAATGGAGTTTATTTATTAAAACAGTTATATAGGATTATATTTCTGTGTATTATTTTTTCTTTTAAACACCCACTACCTTATTTTGAAAAAAAATTAAGGAAAATTGTTTTCTTTTGCGAGAGTACAAATTTATTTTAATGAATAGCATGTTTTAATAAAAATACTAAGGTTGCTGTTCTCTAGTGGGAAGATTATAATGTTTAAGAAGTATTTTAGAACATATATGTATTTTGGAAGATGATGTTTTCATGATCATAGGATTTGTCTAGTCATTGCTAGAAAAGTATCATCATTGTAATGAACACAGATGCTACTGCACTGGATTGTGAGTGACATCACAATTTGAACAGTAGTAATTGTAAATTACATGGATAAATGTTCATTTTTGCCTACACTTTCCAAACTAATTATTTTTTATAAAAAATTTTATAGCAAATCAAGTTTTTTATTCCCCAACCCCATGCCATACTATTTACTGTGAACAGCATCTAGCTGCAGGGGTCAATATCAGGCAGGAATAGAGTAGCTTAACCTGAAATGTTACAGCCAGTGGTGGGATTCAAATAATTTAACAACCAGTTCACCCAGGGTCAGGCTGGTTGTTGTGGGAGGTGTGGCCCATCCCTCCTCCAGCTCTGCCACACGTGGGACAAGCCTCCCATGATAGGCAACCTGACCCTGGGTGAACTGGTTGTTAATTAAACCCCCTTGCTATCAAAGTGGATCCTGGGTGCTGCATTGCAGTGGAGAAACAGGCAACGGAGTGGCCAGGACAAGGGAAGGAGAAGGAGCAGGGAGAAGAAAGAGAGAAAATGATCTTCTCCTTCCCTTACGCCGGCTGCTCCGTTGCCCATTTATCCATTGCAGTGCAGTGCAGTGCAGTGCAGTGCCCAAGATCCACTTTGATAGCGGGGTGGTCGGTAATTTAACAACCAGTTTGCCTGAACTGGTGTGAACCGGATGAATCCCACCACTGGTTACAATCCAGGTCACAGGTTTGCCAGCATTGCTGAAATGCATAAGCCTCCAGCAGTAGCCTAAAGTATTCTTGTTATTTCTTTTCCATAAAGAATGCCATGTATTTTTGTCTGAATACTCACTTTACTTCAGAGCTCTTTTTCATGCTAGCTATGTCAACATGAATATGTGCGAACTGTAGAATTGTCTAACCTCTGCAACCGAGATGAAGCAACTGCAAATAGAGATCCAATAATATTAATAATATTAAGAAACTTGAAAGAAGGTGAAAACATCATTAATAGAGGTTTTTCTAATATAATAAGTTTCTGTGAGTTATTTTATTTTATCTTTAAGCTTATTTAGTTCCAATTGCTTAGTTTCCTCTTTTTGTCTTTTGCCTAAAATGATGTTATTTCATCATAAATATTAACAAACGTAAGTATTTGCTTCCATGATACATAAATAAATCAGACAATATATTTCATATCACTCTTTGAATGGAAGGCAGGTAGGGTATATTTGTTCTACTTTTTATCTGTAGGCTAAATGTTGAAGTAGAGTTTATGTTTATGTTCATATGTCCAAATTGCATAGCACATTTCTAAATGAACTCCAAACCTGAATATATAATCAGAATTTTTATTTAATACCTTGTGTGACCTATAGACATCCAGTGGAACTGGAGACAGGGAAAACAGTCCACCTGTGTCGGGTGGGAAAGCTCACTTGGGATTTCCAATAATGCATTAATCCAATAATGAAACAATTCAGCATTGGATAATGTACTTTAATTTAGGAATTAAAGCATTAATAATATTTAATCAGCATCTGAAACCCTTAATTTTTGGTGAAGTGTCTTGAATGGGAGACTTATATTGTTTTCTTGTATTCGCACATATCTTGCATGCTTTCTTCACAATGGATATTGCTAATAAGCTAATAATAATTAATAATAAACATTTTACAAGCATTACAATGTTTTAATAATTTAAAACATTATTTGAAAACTTAACTCCATTTTCTCATTTCCTTTTCCCTGCCTCTCGAAAATGCATTTCTTTTACTCTCTATTAGCTATGAAATAGATGTAATTGATTTGAATATTTTATATTAAATGTAACTAACAGTCATGCAAAGTTGGAATATTCATTTTGAAAGTAGGTGTTAATTGGCTTACCGTCAGTTGCCATTTTTCGTGACTGTCCTGATGTTGTAGTTAACCTAAACCCAGCTGGCAGTGTTTCTGAAGAGCCAGGCATCATGCTGATTCCATGAACTTCACGTGGAGGAAATTGTCTTCGCCAGGAAGAGCCACGCCTAAAATTCTTGTCATCGCTCTGCAACATACAATATTGAATTTTAGTAAAGCTGAAATCTTTTCCTTGGCCTAGCTGTCATTGCTAGTTTTTGAAATGTTATAATCAGGAAAGTAGATTATTGCTTATTAAAAGAGGTTTTTGCAAAAATGTATACTATGGAAATCTTTATCTGGTTCTATGGTGTCTCATGTTGGCCTTTGCATAGTTTTTAAAAACAGGTGAACAATACGTGCACTTGTTAACTCATTACATCGGTAATGACAAAGCTAGCATATACTGATTGTTATGAACAAATAAAAACTATTTAATAAAGCTTGACCACCTTGCTAGAAAAGCAGGCTCGTAATCCTGCACTTTTGATTGGCCCATGGATAGCGAGCTGTGATTGGTCCTTAACGGAGCAACCTGATTGACTATTAGCTGAACGTCGCTCATTGGGTGTAATTCAAATGTCTTAACGCAAGTCATTGGTTAACGGGTCAGCAGCCAACTCTATAAAAGAGCTGCTGCTGCCCAGGGTTTTTGCTCTGTTCCTGATCGTTAATAAAGAGTTGAAGTTCACTGTTCACTGCCTCGTCTCCGTTCCTTGCGCCCATGCTCAGAACTTAACACTGATAATTAGAAAAACTACAGAATATAAAAAAAGGAATGACAAAAATATTAAACGATTAAATGATTTTCATGTGATTTTGCAGTTGTGGCTAGGAGGGGCTTTGCACAGCTTTGTGCACCATACTAGATCAGGATACTTTGCTCATAGTCACCCATACCCTAGTCATCTCTAGATTGAAATACTATAATGCATTGCATATGGAACTGCCCAACTAATGCAAATGCAGTGGTGCAGGCAAGTTACATTGCTCCCAAAACAACGCATCAGACTTCTATTCCATGAGCTGCGCTGGCTGCCAGCTTGCTTCTGGATTTAATTCAAGGTGCTGATTTTAATTATTGTTGTAATCTCATAACTAGTGAAAATTATGTAGCTAAAAGAAACTGGTGGCACATCTTATCATTAATTGCTGGTGTATACCTTAACATGCATATTGGCAATTTGGGGATTTCCGGTTTGTCGGCTTCGCAAGCGGCAGGGATTCGTGATACTGCGCGATCCCTGCCGCGCTAGCCGTTTTTGGTGCTCCAACCCGGACGGGTCTGGAGCTAAGGCTGCCCTGCAGGGGTGGCTGAAGATAAGGGGGATCCGGAGTGAGGTTTGGGGGTGCTGCAGACCCCCTTCCCAGCCGGCAGAACCCCCTTTTCCCAAGACGGTGCAGCGGCGGTCTGCAATGGCCGCCACAAAGAAGCTGGCAGCCAGGTAAGAATGCGCAGGAGGAAGTGGAGAAAGCTTTTGAAAAGAGAAAGTTTTTCTTGGTTCCCGGGACTCTAAGATATATTTAACAAAATTCCTGGAAATTATGGCTTTCTGAATGATACCTTCTAAAAGAGAAAATAAGTGGCAATTTGGTGGTGCTGAAAGGAAAGTTTACTCTCCTTCCCTACGGAATTAATAAGTGGATATTAAGAAACCTATTTTTTTTTAGGTAAAAACTGGCTTTAAGTGATAAGTGAGAAGGGAGAGGACTAAAAAAATATTTGTATGCTAAGACTTTGTTGGAGGAGATGCCTTAAGGATTTGAAGACTGAAATATATTGCAATAAGACTTTAAGAAACAGATTTGGACTTCCTTTTTTTCTGATTGATACTACCCCAGGAAGAGAAAGTGAGAACTTTGCCTTGGCTTGGACTGATTGATAACTTTGGGACTGGTTTTTTTTTTTTTTTTGAAATATCTTGGTTGCTGTAAGAAGAAAGAAGGGGAAAAGAAAAGAAAAGATTTATAATGGCTTTTTCTGTTGAGGAACTGAGAAAAGAATATGAGCAAACAAAAAAAAATGGTAAAGATGGTTTGAAAGAAGCCTTCCTTTTCTTAGAAATGGCGCTTGCTAACTATCAACAAACATTACAACAGATGAAGACAGCAGAAGAAGAAGAAGGAGAGGAAGAAGCCATCTTTAATGAATTTCAGAATTTAACTAAGAAAGAAGGAAGAGGGAAAGGAAGAGAAATGAAGGACTTAAGATTTAAAAAAACACTTAAGAAGGGGAAAAATAAGATGCAAAATCAATATAATGATAGTAAACAAAAGGAAAAAGGAACACAACAGAGAAGGGAATCCAGTAAGGCAGAGGCTAGAAGAAGGGGGGGTAGAAAGGTTTGGTGGGGGAAGAAAGGAAGGAAAATGGTGGAGAAAAGCCACAAAGTTTTGAAACTAGATGGGAAAAAAGGAATCTTTTTTAGGGATAAAGGGTAAAGTATAAATTCTTCAAAAAAGATTTTGCAAGGTACATAAGATGATATTGTAGCATTGTATTAGAAATAGAAAACTAAAATGGTTTAAGAGTTGATAAGAGATTAAAATGTTGAAATGTTTAGTAATGATTGATTTTAAAATTGAATAATATTAAAGGGAAGGTCTAGAATATTGAGTTTTAATTAAAGAGTTTAATAAGATTATGGTATTGATGTTATTATAAAATTTTTATTATAGCATTTGTTTTTGGAAAAGGCAATGGGAATGTTATAAGATTCAATATTTAGATTTACTGTTTAACTATGCATTTAATTATTTTGGATTTACTATTTAGATAGAACGTACCAAGCAGAATCGGATTGGGTATTGGGTGTTATTTTAAATGTTAATTTGATTAATTTAGAGGGGAGATAGAAAGGCATCATACTCTGATTAGTGATTTCAGGAGAAATTCTTTTTTTTATTATAAGGAACGAGACAAAGGGACAATAAAGAATGGACAAAAGATACAAATATAATGACTCAAATTAAGATGGATTAATTAAGATAGAATTAAGAAGAGTGAAATGTGTGGAGAAGTTAATATAGAAGACTTAGAATGGTAAATAAAATAAGTAATGACATGTAAGATGAGCATGAATATAATTGAAGTCCATGAAGAGAGAGATATCTGGGGCCAAGTTACTTTCCTAAAAGATTTTTTTTTTTTTATGTTCTGTGTGTTGTGTGTTTATGTTTCTGGGTGAATTAATAAAACCTTGCAGAAATATAGAATGAGAATAATGGTAACCAAGTCAGAAAGAAATAGATGAAATAATAACAATGAAATTGAATAAGAGTAAAGAGAAGTAAAGAGAAACTGGATAAGAGGTTTTTGTATGCTTATATGGAAATGGTTTAAAATAGAATTATAGTGTATAAAATAAGGTTTTATCTGACTTGTTAAATTTATAATGGAAAAAGGTTTAAGTATGTAATGGTTAATGATGATTTGTTTGTTTCTGAAAAATTAATAAAACTTGTTTAAAAAAAACCCCATGCATATTGGCAATTTGGGCTACTTCTGCAAAAATATCATGTATTAAGTATCCTAAGGCTTTATCCTGAAAGGACTACACTACACGAATTTTACACAGATGAACTACTGACCTGTTTTCTTGTTGGATACCCAACTTATTCTGAATTAATTTAATGTGACTAGATCCTTTTTTCCTAATAGAGCTAGCACAGCCATAATATCTAATTTCTTCCTTTCTCTATTTTCTCATCTATGTATAATTAAATTTGCAATGGTAATAATATTCAACAATCAATTTAAGGTATTTATTTCCTTTTCATATATTTTATAGACACAACAAACATCTATTATTCTCTGTTGTTCATAAGTCATATAGAAATAAAACTACTTACTTCATCAAAGTGTCTATCTGTTCCTAGGGCCAATAAATTGTTGTATTCCCTCTCGAGAATCTGCCGTGCCTATGGTTAAACAAATCACCCAGCAAAATAATGTAAAAAATACTTCAAATCCTATGGAAATTGAATGGTTTTTAAATAGTTAATTTAGGTACCTGGGTATTCTGGTTTGGAATCTGCAACAATAAGGCTAAACTGCTATAATCAAAGTTATCATCTAAAGCTATGAGTGACCCATGCACACCACTTTCTAGCACATTGTTTGCATAATCTCGTAATCCAATTGCTTGTATCCAGCGTATAACTCTGTCATTGCTCCACACCAACACATCTGTAAAAAAGACAAAGGTGAATTTTGCTAATAACCAAAATTTTAAAAAGTAAGAATAAAAGAACTGAGCTAAATCTAACTTAGCTATTTAAAATTATATTGTAGTCTCATAATATTGTTAGGCCTGTTCCAAAACGTAAAGCAATTTTTCCATAACATGGATACACGAATTTTCTAGAGATAAATTCATATGATGTAGCAAGAAACATTTATGTTTATATCCTCTAATAATGTAATTGAAAAATACTTTAGTACAAATTTAATTATGAAGTTGGATGCCATTTTTAAAGTTTTCCCTTTCATAGTGTCACATATATGAAGGGTCACGAGGATGAGCTTACATTAATAAAGCACATAGACACCAAAAGCCTATCCAATGTTAATGTATCTCTAGATTAACAATGTTAGCTGTTTAATGTAATGCCATCTATTAGTAGTTTTCCATTGCAGATTGATATCTATTAATCTAATAGATGGATACTACTTGCAAATATAAACCTATTACTACTTATTGCTTTAGTTACCATATTGAGATGATGGTGTGCATTTATCTGCACTTCAATGTACTTTTATGAGACTGTTTAGAATATTTTATAGGATGAGCATTGAAAAAACCTATTTTATGTTAGTAAAGCATACCTTTTATTTCATGCTGACTTGTTTCCCTTCTCCTTTCTAATTCTTTTCTATCATAATTCAGTTTCTTTAAACACATAATTCCATATTGCAGACTTGTTCTGTTACGAAAAAAAAGTAAATAACATAAGGCAATTGGAAAGTCTTACCATTATTGAAAATTCTTATTCAGCTTCATAAATACTGGAACTATTTTGGAGCAAATAATTTAGAATGAAAGAAGAATGCAGAAATCATAGCATTAATATGTAGACTATTAGGGTGCTCAATTATGTTTCTATTCTATCATACGTATAAACATGTATAATTCATTTAGGAGTTGTTCAGACCTCTATGAGGAAGATTATGCATGTCCATTATTAAAAATGTTATAACTTACCGATGAAAGCTATCCACCATTTTTAAATGTACACGGAGATCTTTTTTTGTCAGATGATCTAACATCCTTGCATCTACCAAACATTCCATGAAGTAACTTCGGTACTGTGGTAATCCTAGACTGGGAAGCCATTCATTACCAATCCATTCATGGTTCATATCACCATAAGCTAGGGTCTATGGGGAAAAAATAGGAAAACTTAATGGTTATCTTATTACTACAGCAAACTGTCATGCCCCCGTCGGAGTCTGAATATGCAGGGGAAGATGAACTGGAACAAGAGCTGACAGAGCTTGAGAGGCCAGCTCCATTGGCCTTTGAGGAAACTGAGGAAGGGCAGAGTCCCGTTTAGGCAAGGCTTTTCTGAATTAGTAAGGCCTGCAGACGGAGAGAGCTCAGGAGAAGAGCAAGGACTACCCCCTCCTGATCTGAGAGCAAGGAGGGAAGAGAGACAGCGAGATCAACGCAGATTGAGCCGACTAGGAGTATGCCCCGCCCCCTTTGACAAGGCACACCTAGAGACTGAGATGTAAGGAAGTGCTGGTGGGAGGGACATTTGTCGAGAACAAGTGTTGAATCTGTAAAGCCTCGTGTGCACTTGCCAAAGCCTGGAGATTGCTGTGCTCTGTCTTGTGGGGCTTGTCAGTTTGCCTGCTTCACTGAACTTCTGGCTCTGGTTAGTTTGGCTAACCTTGCTACTGGACTACTCACAGCCAGAGGCTTCTGAAGATGTGTATGAGAGCTTTGCTCCAGGACTTGTAACAAATGTGAGAACATTTGAGGGCACAGTTGGAGCAATAAAAGGGAGTTAGACCTGTTCTCTGGGTGTGCTGTTTACGTGCCACGCCCCGGGTCATCACACCAAACACTACATGCACACATACACGCACGCACAGGTGCTTCAGTTCTTGGATGAGAAATGTTTTCAAAGAAAAAAAACCCTAAATTTGAAATGTCTGTGAAGATTCTTAAGCAATTCCTGAAAGACTCTAAGCAACTTACAATTTAAAAACAAGAATAGCAAAGGAAGAATCTGCCATACCTTACCTGACTTCATAGCTAATCTACCACAAAGTTCAAGAGAACAAATTTTAGAGTTCTCAGCCTAGACATCAGGTTAAAGAAGTGCATTATAGGTGAACCAACTCTAATTACATGACACTCCTACTCCAATATGTCACCAGGTAGCAACATCTAAACAATTTTGGCAGATCTGAGAAAGGAAGTGGGGTTGGTCCTAGAAAATACTTGGATGAGGAGCTGACTAGGAGTTGCAAAATAATAAGCATTTTGGAATAAGCAAAGGTAACCTACTTCTACAATACCACAAAGAATTTGATGCCATGCAATAAAGGGAATGGAAGGAAACAAACAGGAAACTTATCCACAAAAAGTGATTCTGGATATGGAAAGAAAAAGACAATTCACATCATCTATTTAGGGACGTGTATTTTTGCCAAAATGAAGCTGTTAATGCAAACAGTGTGAAGGTAAGATTTATTAGTTGTATTCATTTAGAGTATAATGCTAAAAGCAAACTTAAAAGAAGTGCATTTTTGTGGTGGTTGGTTTATTTCAGTTATGAAATTATTTGTGAAATCACTAGCATAATTAGCACAATCATTACTTAGTGTAATTATGTTGCAAGGTATTGTTAAAGCACTTATGCAAAGAACTGCATAATGAAAAACCAAAGTATTGATTTTCAGGTAAAAATGTGTTTTCACCAGGGTAAACATTTTGTGCTAGTTTTGGGATCATAGAACACAATTCAATAACTTGTACCTCAATCCAATCCAATTATCTTTGTAGGTACTGAAATATTTCCATATTAATTTTATCAAGCTGCAACAGAATACTGATTGACCCTCTAGCTGGTGTAATATGTAAGCTTTCCCACTTCCAAATTATAGACATACAGAATTACACTTCCTATTAGTAGACAACCATTCAGAAAACAAAGGAAATGAATTTTGCAGTAGAGCTGTGCCAATCAATAAGCTAATTTATCATCTTCAGCCCCCAAACGTCTCTGCTTAATACTAGATTAATATGAAAAGCACCAAACTGGTGAACTCCTAACTGCACTCTACAGTTTAAGGAATGTGCTCTGATCTATACAAGGGCTGATCACTCTTATTTCCAGAAAATGAATTACTGTTTGTCATGTTGAAAAAAAAATCAGAAGAAAGGGATCTTACCTGAGCCCAGCTGCCTTCCTCACTGTCCTTCTGCAAGTTGAACAGAGCCATTAGCAATGTCAGTTAAGAACAAAAAACATAGAATATTTAGAAACCAATAAATAAGATATAAATAGAGCAATACAATATATCTTCATAATCCCATATTCTTTTCCAGGTTGTCATAAAATTTGGTCAGGAGGAGAGGAAAAGAGACAGTAAATAAGCCTCTTGCCAGCCCAGATTTTCAGTAAGCCCCAGGCAGAAGAATTACTAGTTGGTGAGTCAGCTGATTGGGCACCAACTGATTAAAGTTTCTGCACCATGCATTTTTCTCTGGGAGATACTGGTCAAGAGCTTTGACTAGCCAAGAATGGAGAGCAGTGATACCATGGCTTTTGAATTGTGTGCAAGCTTTTGTAAAGCTTGAACAGGAAAGATAACCTCAATACATATGCATTGTGGACAATCTCATGGCAATCATCCAACTATCTGTCAGCTGGGCCAGCGATCTACTGACTGCTGTCCCCAAGATATCCTGGCCAGACCTCTTCCCTAGTTGACAAAGGAATGGATTTGGGAAGTACAACGTCAGAACAACTTGTTATGATAGCTTCCTAACCCTGGAGCTTTCTAAACAAGGTGGGATTTACACATTAAAAAATATGCACTAAACAACTGAGGATTGAGTATATTTCTTAATTTTAATGTATTTGTATTTATTTTGATACAAATTATTTAATTAGTTTATAATTGTTTACAACACATTTCAGACATTTCCATAAAATAGCCTACACATACGAAGCTTATTGTGTAAAACAAAGAAGATTGTTTTGTAAAATTATTACATTTAGTACTCCTAAAAATTTCCTATGATGATACTACAATAACAATAGGCAATATTAGAACTAACCGTTTTGGTTGGAGCTGCAAGATTTTCCATTTCTTCATGGGTTACCCAAACGTTGCCTGAGGGCTATTGTCCATACCCACAGGGTCAGGCAAAATCCATATTAGGTAAGCAGTGTTAAAGAAGAAAGGCAGCAACACTGTAAGTTAACAGCATACATCATCAAAATGAGCACAACCACATCCTTGTCTCAGGTGAGGTGCAGCTAGAAAGCAATGTTAAATAGCTGCTTTCCCCCAGCAAAAAATCCCTTGGTTGAATTATTCGGATATGGAAGGGAGCATCTACATTCTATTAAATGTGAACAAATAATCCCTATGTCAGGATTCCAGCGATACCCTACAGACGTCTATTATTGTTTTTATAAGTATCATTAATTTAAAACAGCTTTCTTTATCTGATTTTCTCCAGATATATCGGAACTGTAATATCTGTAATTTCTATTCAGCATAGCCAGCATAACAAAATGATAGCTTTTGCAATCTGAACAAATCTGGATCACATCAGATTGGAGAATACTGTTTTTATATGTATAGTCCTGCATATGGGAAAATCATCTGGGAAGTTGATCCAAGAGATACTGTATTTTCAATTGTTGCTACACATGACCAGAAGTATAATGGAAGAAATGATGATTTAAGAAAATAACATATTAATCCCAATTGGGTATCATATTTTTTAATGAATAAATGTATTTGAAGTGATATTAGCCATAATTTAGGAATATAAAAACCTTGGTGAACTATCTGAAGGATTATAGTTCAATCAGTAATTCTATATCCTAGACAAAGTACAAAGAAACCTTATTTAAAGATTAAAAAATAATAAATAAATAAGGAACAACTGACCTGAACTCCTAACCTGGTCTATCAAGCTGGCCTATTTGGCTTCTGCATTTTAAAGTGACCCCTTACTAATTCCCAAATGTCCCATATGATTTTCAGTTTGACAGTTGTAATCCAGAAAAAGTATATAGTGATCAATAGGTCTGGGAGCTTTCCAATGAAGGAATTGAGGAGCTCTAGGAAGTTGAGCTGTGATGGGTTTCCATGTATCAGAAAAGCACACAGCAGCCATCTTACTCCCTGAGCAAAATGCAGATAGCTCCCTGCTTCAGGGGTGCATTCTTGGCATGGGAGGAAAAGACTGCCTTCTGCTAACACCAAAGAAAAATGGATAACATCAAGATGACTTTTTTCATATAGGCCGAATTTTAGTCCATTTTCCCCACACTAATGTTATCCAGTTTATCATCTGAATCTAACTTCTGGACTAGAAAGGTTTTACCCTTCTACAAGAGAAATCAGGACATACTGAGAAAGAATATATTTATCAATGCCTAACTTCTAGAATGACAAAATGGCTTTTTTCTTCAGAATTCACTGAATTTACCTGTCACTGGAGAACATAAATAGGAATAAGCTATTATGCTCTTCATTACTTGGTTGCCCAGAAGGACCTGCTAGGATATGTACTGACTTTTTGACAGATCCAGCAAACTCCTTTTTTATGCTTGATGACTCACTGTTCTAGAAGTTGGAGGGGCTGATGGGCTTGTGAGGGACACCATCTCCTGGATTGCCAGACGGAGCTTCAGACGATGCAGAGGATTGCTGATTCCAATTTCTCTCTGGATTTCAGTATCTGACAGTGCAGACATGATGGCACCACTTTTCACATTTGCACGGCAAGCTGCAACATACCATGCAGGCATTCCTAGCCATAGCTGTTACGGATGGAGAATCAGCAGTTAAGAATAAGAATTAACAATAGGATTATTTTTGTTACCAGAACTGAATTAAATTGGGAGTTTGCATTGAATACACATACTAATGATTGGGTAAGCAAGTTTAGATTTAGATATGACATTAGATTTCTTATAAAGTTTTTCTTTCAAAAAAACATTAAATCACCAATTTCCCTCCAAATATAGGAATATAATAGTGTCATCCCATAATCAGCTTTGGTTACATTGTAACATCTCCTTTATTAGAAAAACTATTTTTCCTAAAACAAACAATAATCTAAATACAATGATCTAAAAACAAAATAATCCTGACAGGAATGATGAATGGATGTGAACTAATAAAAAGAAGATACAATTTTTAAAAACATGCCTTTCGCATTGAAATTTAATGTGCTTTAGTTAATAATTATTCTGATTAAATGACAAAATTATAATTATCTGGGAATCTAGTAATTAGTCACTGAAGCAAAATTCAAAACCAGGTTTATTACTAGAGTTAATATTAAAGTAACTTTCAAACATAACAACACTCAACACTCATGACCACAAATGCTTTCTTGTATTAATTTACTTCTAAATTGGAGATTTTAAATTTATTTTATAGTGGCATAATTTTAAAAAATGAAGAACCTGCTTCTGGATTCTATGTAAGGTGTATTTCTTTTTAACAAATGCTATAGCATTTACAAATGCTCTTTATTTCACATTCATCACATGATGGACATTATATCTTATTTGAATTATTTTGAAGTTCTCACTTCCTCAAAAATATTTTTTTCTCTTCTCTCTGTTTATAAAAATATAACTTACATTTCAACTTCCATAGTATGAGTGGACTTTTGCTTTATCATTCCTATGGATTTTGGTTAAAATATCCTGATCTTTTTTTAAACAGGGCAATTTTTCAGTTAAAGTTCTAGTATGATATGTCTTATGAAATATCTTTTTTTTAAAAAAGGGAAAGCATTTTGTCATTCTATGTAAGAATGAACTGCTTATAGACATTATTTCAAGAGGGAAATGAGAATTAACGGTTGTAACAGGGTCTTTATTTCTGTTTTCAACCTAAATTATAAACCGCTGATGAAGAAGGTAAAATCAGGTATACCAATATTTTTAGAAGGTTTTTCTAAAACTTACCTCTAGCCAGGCAACTACTGTTGGCCCATCCCACTGTGCAAAGGGTAAGCCCTTCCTCCGAGCTTCCTCCAGAAGTTCATGCCTAAAAGTGCATTAGAGATAGTTAAAGCAGGAGCTAAGACCTAACAACACCACAAATGGAATTCAGTATGGATGAAATAAAATTGTAATGCATCATATCACTGATAATACATATTAAAGTTTTTCACCTGTTTGCTATATTCTTTGAACTTTAGAAAGCACCCCTCTTTTTTGTTCCCCACTTTGCAAGAGTATGTACCTTCCTTGGAGAAATCATTTTCTTGTTTTCACAGATGCATTTAGTCTTGGCCCATTAAAAATAATCATCCAATTTTCCTAACTTCATCTTCCAACTTTTACAAACAGGTTTATGAAAGTCATTATTCTATTTTGTTAGAAGCCATACCTGAGCACCCCAACATATTTATGCTCTAATCATAAAGTAGAAAACAATCAGAACTTAATGCAAAAAAAATGCCCAGTTGTTTAAAACAAGATTTTCACAGCTTGTTCAATGTGTGTTAGCTGTAGTTTTCCACATCATCTGTCTGCAATTGATTTTTATTTTAAAAGACTGCAGATACTTTTCTAAAGCAAAAGTTTCCTATAACTTAACAAAAGTATGATTTGTCAAATAGTTTGTAATTTGACAAGGCTATAAATGCACAAGTGTATGTTCTACACACTGGAGATGTGTACCTGTGGCCCTCCAAATATTGGTGGACTTTAACTCCAATCAGTTTGCCCTGTGATGAAAGAACTAGGTCTTGTAGATGGGCAACATCTCAGGGCCTTTAGTTGATCATCCCTGCTATAAATCTTCCTACTTCTGAAATGGTTTCTGCAGAGATGAAAAGTGATCATATCATCTAGGTGGCAAATATTAAATTATGACTTTTGGAGAAGAAATGGTAAACTGAACACCATAGCATAATGATGAGCCAGTGAGTAGACCAGTTTTTTGTAATTTCTCTCCAGTTAAGGAGATGACTTGAGATCATCCACAAGTGCTTCAGATGGTTGCTCCTCATGAGGAGACTGCAAGGCAATGGTCTCTGATGGGCTTAGAGCTATGGCAGATGAGGGAATAGCTATCTTGCTCAAACCATGAATGGTAACTATAAAAGGACACTGTGTTTGCATATTTTCTTATTACTTTCAGAAATTGTTGTTAATTGCTTTTCAGTTACTGAGAATCTTTACTGAGTCTGAAAAGACCAGATGAAGTTACTTCAATTCTTACTGAAATAAGTTTTAAATACAAGTTTTAAGGACCCTCTTCTTAATAAAGAGCAAAAGGGTGATTAAAATTTTTGTTCTGACAAGATACAAATGGGCTAATAGCCTAGATGCATTTGAATAAGATTTTGGAATTATTTACAAGAAGCATTATTGTGAAAATTGATTTTGTTATGAATTCTTAAAAAGATGATAGGATGGGACTTTGAAGGTTGGATACTACTAGAAGGAGCTAAATATTACAATTAAAGGAGAAGAACACTTACAATTCATTTGACTTATTAATACAGAATGGAGGAACATATTTTAGTTTTGATATACTGAAGGATATTTTTAAACAATGGACTCAGAAGTTAATTTTAAGAGTGTTTGTCTCTACAGATAGACTGTCTCTAAAAGATGTTATGGAAGAAAACAACTTTTACTAGAGTTTGTAATTTGAGACTGAGACTGATCTGAAAGTTTAAGATTTAAAAATGACAGGCTACAAAAGTGATATGGAAAAAGGTGGTACACGAGCTACAAAAGATGTTTTGTATTTTTTAATATTTAAAAGGGATATATGAGTAACAAACTAGGGTAACAAATCTCGATAATTTTCCTATATTGAATTTATAAGAGAGGGTTGTTAAAGCTTTCAAGAATTTTATGAGATGGGACAAATAATGAAAAGAAATCAAGTTCTGGGACATATAAAGGGACTAAAATCAAGATTGTTAAAAGTACAAGGAAGGAATATAAAGATAGCTTATTTGATCAAGGTTAAAATATGCTGCTCTCTCTGGATATGGACTTTTGCTTATTAAAATTGAAATGACAAAATTATATTTTTGTATTTTAATAGAAGGTGATTAAAAGGTTGTTAAAACTGTTATTACTTGTGATCACGGGGGTCTTTTCTTTATACATTTCTTTTCTTTTTGTTTAATATTCAGGTAATCCTTGACTTATGACCATAACTGAGCCCAACATTTCTGTTGCTAAGCACAATAGTTACTAAGTGAGTTTTGCCCTATTTTACAATCTTTCTTGCCAATGTTGTTAAGTGAATTACTGCAATTGTTAAGTTAGTAACATGGTTGTTAAGTGACTCTGGCTTCTCCATTGACTTTGCTTATCAGAAGATCACAAAAAGTGATCACATGAACCAGAGACCTTGCAAGTGTCATAAACACATGCCAGTAGCCAAGTGTCCAAACTGTGATCACATGACAATGGGAATGTTGCAATGGTCATAAGTGTGAAAAATGGTCATAAGTCACTCTTTTCAGTGCCACTACAACTTCAAATGGTCATTAAATGAATGGTTGTAAGTTTACAATTACCTGTACTTATTTTCCTTTCTATTATATTTTCTAAATCATCTATTTTTCTTTTTATTCTTTTAGTTTGTATTAGTTTTTATCATTGTGATTGTAATTCTTTAATTAAATTACCATTAAAAAAGATATTCTGCTACAATTGTCTGCTAACTTTCTTTGCAACTATAAATAACTTACATCCAGAGGTAAATAATGTTTTGATTCAAGAGCAATAAGAGTTTTCTTTTCTGGGGGAGAGGGATACAGGTCTCAAACTGTGCGACCTGTTCAATGATGTAGGTAGTGTTAGGGGGATTGTTTTTAACTATGCAGTGCCAGGGCTTATACAGAACTTTTCATATATTTCTCAGACTAGCCGGAAACCTTCCATTTTCAAAAAACATAGTGAGATTATTCCCACTTATTGCAACTGTAAGACACATTCTGATATTCAGTCTAATATAACAGTCTTCCTGTTCAGACCTTTCACAGCAGTTTTCTGGGAGATTAAGGTAGTTTCAGAAAGGAGAAAAATGCGTGCACCTCTGGCTTTTATTTGACACTGTTAAACACTAAGTAGCACAGCACAGAATTAACTCAGTCTTCTAATAATGATTCTCAAAAGTATCTAACCATATTTGCAAATTGAAATATATGATTATATTTGAAGGCAGGAAAAGCTTGGAAAAATCTTCCACCATTCCCTTAAGAGATAAATGCTGAAAAGTTAATTCATCACTTATGGCTATTATTTAGGTGTTACTTCAGTATTTCTGAGTGATATAAAATCAATTCCAAAAAATTAAAACCAAGAACTATGCATTTTCAATTATATTAAAGTATCTGGACCTTCTACAATATACTTTCTTGACTGTTCCCTCTATTGTATTTTATTTATTTATTTTTATTTATTTATTTAATTTGTCAATCGCTTACAAGATAATAGGTATAAGAATAAACATGAGTATGAATACAGGAAATAGGTATGAATAAATGTAAATAAATAAAGGTACGAACAACAGGACAGGGTCAGTAGGCACTATTGTGCACTTATGCATGCCCCTTATGTATCAGTCACATTTTTTAAAAAAATACAGTAATATTCCAAATTATAACAGCATAGGAGCGCTATTATAACTGTCCCAAAGAAGATCAAAATCTAAATGCATAGTCTGTAGCTTCCTTGCCATGCAGAGCAGATGTCACTGGGGACACTCAATAGGTATAACTGTAGTTGAGAAATTGCATTTATAGCATTCTGAGCCTCCAATTTTACATGGCCTCTGCCACTCATAAAGATGCTGTGACATGCAGCAGATCCATTATACTTTATATATATATGACATATATGTTTATAACTATCAGCAGCATCCCAACCAAGGCTGAGAATAATTTGTGTACTAATGCAGTAGGTGAATAAGGCTAACACACACAATTGAATCAGAATAGCATGTTGGAGAGAGGGATAATGAACAAAAATAACTAGGCTTGAGACAATATATGGAACAATTTTGTCTTATTAGGATTTTGCTACAAGCTTCAAATGTCTCAATTATGGTTAGCTTTGCTTAGTAAACAAACAATAGATACAAACTCAAGGTTAATCGCACCAAACTTGATTGCAGGAAATACGACTTCAGCAACAGAGTGGTCAATGTCTGGAATACTCTCCTGACTCTGTGGTTTCTTCCCCAAACCCCAAAACTTTAACCTTAGACTGTCTACTATTGACCTCACCCCTTTCCTAAGAGGTCTGTAGGGGGCATGCATAAGCGCACCAACGTGCCTACCGTCCCTGTCCTATTGTTTCTTTTAATTTTTCTTATATGTATCCATTTCATGTATTCATAACTATGTTTTTACTTATACCTATTATCTTGTAAGCAATTGACAAACCAAATAAATAAATAAAAGTATATATTGTGAGATATTTTCTGTTGTTCAATAATGTAAGTTATTGGACATATACATGTATGGTTAAGGCATCAGTCTAGAAACCCAGAAACTGACTTAGGCAGAAAATCAACTGGGTAACTTTTGGGCCAGTCACTTTCCCTTAGCCGTAGGAAGGAGGCAATGGCAAATCAATTGTGAACATTTTTTTTAGCAAACAAACTGTAGGGAGTTATTGAGAGTAGTTTCTGATAATCAGAGAGGATTGAATTAAAGGGAAAAAATGTATTTGTGCCCTATGCCAGAATTTCTCAACCTAATTCTCTTCATCTTCTACAGTTCTCGATTACATTGGGGCATGTTGCTTTAAAGTGGTCTTTTGGACAACATAAAATGGTAAGTATTTTAAATTTTTCCTAGAATTAAAATAGGATACATCTTATTGCACTGTGTAACTAATACTTCATAATTAATCTTAGCCATTAAGTAGTATAGTATACCCAAAAATATTTGAAAATTATAAGGCTGATTAATAATAAGGAGAGTCCATTTTATTTGCAAATCCAGATGTTTAAAAATTGTAAATATTAATTTGTTTTCTATGGAATGACAAGCATATTTTCTTGTG